GCTGGCACTTGCTTTGGAACTTAAAGTTGGAGAGAAATAGATCGAAATTAATCGAAGAGCTGCACAATAGTGTGCATCAACACATGAGGCATAACAATCCCTCAAGTTCGAGAAGGCTCAATCCCCAGATGTGGAGTTGGTAATGCCCCATCAACGCAGACCGAAATGGATTTCACGCCCCAAAGCAGTTTGTTAAATTTCACCAACGTTTCCCATACTTATTTCTTTATTATCGGTGTCAGGCTACTCCACCTCACTGACGTTAAAGACATAGCCTCATAAATATAGGAAATCGGCTCTAAGAGATAAAACTTGCGATATTTAGTCAAGGAAGGTGTGTATTTTCCAGGCTAAAATGTGTCAACTTGTCCGAAAGGTCTCCGGTATTCCTCAAGTAGACCTGGCTCATGCGGCCTTGTTATAAGCTTCAGAAACGCTTAGAGGCTTAAAAATACTAAACACTATATTCCTAGTTGTTTATGTGGCCCAGTATGCACTGAAAATAGAATGCTGAGATCTTCTAACCGTGGGTTAATTATAAGCTCTCCTGAATTCCCATGAAGACAATATTCCTTACTGGATTTCTAACGTTTTCGCGCAGAATTATACCTTATTTGCGTATATTTGCCATGTATGCCTGCAAAGTGTACTTTCGGCCACCTACGCAGTCCCTAGTTTTTGCAGGGTATTACGGGCTAATTAGAGCATTTCTGGATAGCCATGCCTATTTAGAACATATACAGCTTCGCTACTTTTTACATTTTCTTTTCTTTTTTATGGTATCTGCTTGCAAAGCAGAAAGCCAATTTTAGCGATAAAGAATAATGGCCTTATTCGTAGGCCATCATTCAATTGCGAATAACTCGCAAACTACTGAATTCGCTGCATTGCTTTTGCTTTCGGCGTAATCAGCGGTTAAAACTTGTCCTGAGCAGCTTATTTTTGTGCCACATTACGCAGTATTCTAGCCTTAGATGAGGTTTCGCTTTTTCTGAGATTTCCTCTGGTTAACGTTTCGCGCTAGAAAGCAATATCAGTGCAAGAAATGTTTGGCTATATTATTTTGTTAGTTTGTATTTTTCTAGTGAAGCACGCCGCCTTAGTAGGTCTTTTAACAAATCCTTTTTATTTTCATCTGTATTTCCCGAAATTATTCTTTAACTTTTCGTATCCCTTATAATTCCGCCACTCTCATTTCTTCCATCTGCTCGCCAACAATTGTAGCGACTGAGCGGGCCAACAAAACCCAATGAATTTAAAGTGAAGTTGTGGTGAATTGGCTCCTGCTCCAAAGAAAAAAGGCACAAATACTGCTCTGCGCAGCTTTCACAACAAAAGAACAAAGAACTCAATATCGCCCGAAGGAACCAGAAAAAATACAAGGTGGGCGCCTGCGACCCCAGGAACTGTACACCTAATAATGCCAATGCATTTTTAATTGCCAACGAGGAACATATACTCGTATTTTGCTTACTTCCATGTAAGTGCCTCGTATTAATGTAAAGGTTGATCTGCACCCTTAAGGGCGCAGTCTCTAGCCGGTCTAGAAATATACCCATTTATTTATTTATACTAGACGACAAATTGCAGCTTACTCAAGGCTGCACGTCGCATGCTTCGAACGTCTCTGCTTCGCTAAAACATTACGATTCAGTGTGGCGTATACGACAGCGTATTAATGTTGTGATGCATGAGGTGATGTATGCTGCAATGAAAGGTGAGCGTAATGTGCAAGCGTACCAGACATACCTGTGCTTTTGTGCGCAATGGAATGTAACAAGCTGAAGTATCGGGCTAGCCGCGGACAATAGGCAACCATAATCTTACTGCTTTGGTGTTATCTGTGTTGGTGCCGTTGGACTGCGCGTTCCGTGCGATTAGAAAGGCTGAAATCATGTTGCGAAGGACCAGAAGGGTGGTATTACGATGCACCGCGAAGTAAAGGTTGCATTTTTGCACGCGAGGAGGCCTGCAGCGCCCGCGAGGTTGTTAGGCCCTACACATGGTCCAGCCAAATTTGCCTCCAGCAAATTTCCTACACATTCCGCAGCAGTTGAAGATCGTATGCTGGAAAGCAAAGCTTGCTTGTGCCTTCAACTGGGCTACTGAGTGTTACCAACCTGCTGAGCTTCTTGTCGGCTAACGCTGTATCCGAAGCTTGCATTTCCGTGGAATATGAAATCAGCAGGGTAAAATGTTATTTTTCAGGGGGCGGCGAATCGCACACTGCTTCGAACAACGCCTCCAGGTAGGCCAACCTTGGTCGATGCTCAAGTTGCATTGCATGCAAGGCCACTGCAATGCATGGGTACATCACATACATGTTACTATAACATGCGGCTTGCTTCTCCTTCAACTCAGCTACATCCTGTCGCATTTGCCTTATGTGAGCTGTTTTGAAAAGAGCCTCGCATTGGTATTGGCAATGATTCACAAAACTCCGCATGACTGAAACACGCAAATGGTGTCAAACGCTTTGGCGGAAAGGGCAGTATTGTTGTAAATATGGAAGCCTGTACCTCGGATAATAGCATCCACCGGTGGCTTGCTACAAATTTTGCGATTCAGCGGATTGCTCCGCAGTAGTTTCTGCGCTGCGAGGCGTCGATGCAGAATGTGCGTTCAGTAGAGGAACCGACGGCAGATTTTCCTGATCGAACGCACGCACTGACCTTCTGCGACACTTAATTCTCTCCAGCTCCTTTAGGGAGGACGAACATTTAGAAGTACTTTGCGCAACGTACTGGTCATTTTTATGTGCTTGCACTACATGCCACGTTTCGCTGAACCAATCCTCATTATAAGTTACCGCGTTGCTTGATGCATGGTTTGGTGTGTCTCAACAAATTCGAGCATGAACTATTTATTTATTCATTTATAATGGTGACTCCTTGTTCATCTCTTAACAACGGTACTGCTAAAAAGCTCCTAGGTTGCCTCCATAAGTTCGTTGGATAAGGCATCGAAGTTGTGCCAATGCGATGCCTACGTCACCTAGGGATTTCCTAAGATCAAAAATAAAATTTCATTTCACAATCTGATCACACACATTACATGAGAGACGTGCAAACTAGGCGATAAACAAGGACACAGTGCTACGGTGATGTTAAGCGGCGTATCCACACAAATGACTTCGTATATGCACTATGCGTAATAAGTAATTTAAATGGTGATTACTACGTAGGGTGCAACGCTTAACAAAACAGTGTACTACAGCTTATGTTGCAAAAGCGAAGAGGATACGGTATATAAGAAATCCGGATAGCATGGATAGCGTCACACGACTACTGGGGGCCTCGAATAATGCAAGTTGATGGTCAACGTAGTTGATCGCAAAAAAGTAAAACCAATGTAGCTGGTGAGAAAAGGTGTAAAGCAAAAATTAGTATAGAAAATAAACAACCGGCGTGAAGTAAAATATCACCACCGTTACGCATGGAAAAACTGTTGTTATCAGCCAATTTTCAAGCATGAAAATGCAACTTTTATGTGTTTACCTTTTTTGCAGGCATTTTACGAATTTTCTTCAAGTGTGCCAGCAGTGTAACTGCATGTGGACCAGCTACTGACCAGCTTGCAAGGTAATTGTGCAGGAGGCATTAATAAACTGGCCACGCCAAGTTGAGTATGCGCAAATTGAAATTGAGAACATACGTGATTATTGTGGCTAAATCCTACTATAATCCATCAGTCCAACTAACACTGAATAAGACTGTGTCCCATTGAATATCTCTGGTAAGTCTTTTAACCACTTATGGACGTTCTTTTACAATCGTGATATATTGCTTGTTTATATTCTTGTACACCTGATCTGACCAGCGTTGTCCCAGGTACACGCTTGTGACAAACTTCTTTCGATCTCAATGAGTTCCATTCTAACCCAAAGGGTTATTCTATGCACAATGCTTCAGCGGTTGAACTATGTTCCTTACGTTTAGTAAACCGCATAAAATTTAGGTCCTACTAGGGTAATTACATTATGATCGATATTATTAAAAGATAGGACACAGCGCACCTAAGTCAAACTTCACCACATGTTAACAGGGAGTAGGAATTAAACAATAGGTAATTGCATGCGTTGGCATAGCTCAGTTGTGACTACATTATGCATACGCGACAGGTTACTTAGCGCAAAGTACAAATAACTCGTTTTAACCAGGCTATATGCGATCCAGTCGGTTGCAATTACGCAGCGATAAAGAAGTTCATCTAGTTTAGGGAAGGATTGCTTTCTTTGATTAAGCACAACCCTACCAAACTAATTACAGATAGAGGTTTGGACAATATATACACAGGCGTACAGTATCCAACAGGTCGTGCTTTTTGGAAATACAGATTTAGGAAATGCTTTTGTTAACGTTTCGCAGCTTTACACTAAACCGACAGTTTTCTGCGAAAGGGTACATTGTACGAAACTCTATAGGCCATCAAGCTACCATATTTGCGTAGTGACCTTGTTGTACTTTTTGTAATTCCTTTTCATTTTGCTTCGGTTCAACCATTGTTAAGTCGCGCGTAAACCGTAACGGGCGGCTGGTAACGGGATTACGAAACGATGTCGGGAGCGAGTTCCTGTAGCGTTGCGCGAAGCCACTTGCTGTTCGGCGTATTCGAGTCCGCCACGCACAACATTCAATTTAGCATAAGCCAGTCTGTAGCTTGCTCATTAACGAGACCACTAACGTTGTTTCTGCACGTAAACAGAACAGTTAGCATATATTAGACCTTTTAGCTATTTTTACAACATCGCCACATATGAACTAAACTTTTCTTCTTAGGTTTATTACGTGGCATATATTTTTAGGTGTTGCTGCATAAACGGAGCTTTTCAATACATTCGTTTTGTACGTTTCGGCAAAGAAAACTTCAATACCTTTACTTATGCTTTCATGTATACAACTGCTTTACGGGGCTATCAAAGGTAACTAAATCTACTTGTGCAAACTGCATGTACGGTACCCAGCAAGGTATTCCAAGGTTGTTAAAGTTAAGTACTTTTAGCCTTTTAAAATAAGCTATCGCCTAAACAACTTAGAAATTTGATATTATTCGCAGTTAATTGACGTCACTTAACGGACCGAACGGTTGCTCGACCCCGAGATGTCGACCCATGGACCGTATGATTTGGCTGACTTTATGCGTCTCGAAAAGATTGGGGAAGGTTTGTATTTTGTTTAATAGCCTTTAGAAACCTATTGCAACCATCTAGGCACTTACGGTGTGGTTTATAAATGCCGAAACCGCAAGACTTTACGCCTGGCCGCTTTAAAAAAGATAAGGTTAGAGAATGATGAAGAGGGTGTACCGTCAACCGCTATACGCGAGATTTCACTTCTCAAAGAGCTCCAACACCCTAATATAGTAAGGTGAGTGTGATTGTGTTTTGTGTATCCTCACAAGCCTCGAGCAAGTCATAATGGATAGTGGTCGACTTTACTTAGTATTCGAGTACCTTAATGTTGATTTAAAGCGATACCTCGATGAACACGGAAGAAAAAATCGTCTCGAGCCTACCTTGGTCAAGGTATCCTTTAAACTCAGTCAGCCTACCTTCAGAGCTTCATGTATCAGATGCTGCAGGGTTTGCTGTTTTGCCACGGAAGACGCGTGATACATCGGGATCTAAAGCCCCAAAATATCCTCGTAGATATTGGCAGAAAAATCGTGAAGCTAGCCGATTTCGGTCTCGCAAGGGCTTTTGGGATCCCTGTGCGAGTTCTAACCCACGAGGTACGTCCTTTCTTGCCCCCTTAATTCCGCTATTCGGGTGAGTGCCATGCTTAATACGTACCACAAAAAGCGCATGAGTTAAGCACTTTAATGAAGCGGACTATAGCGCGTGGATTTTCTGCCTTCTAGGACTAGTAAATACTAGTCCTCGACGGTGCACGAAATTAAGCGCGGATATCAGAAGCCGATTGGAGTCGGACACGGGACCAGAAGAGGTAGACGGATGAAGCGAGACAAGAACAACTCGTTAGCGCGGGAACTTACAAGACACTCAAGTGTCGTGCTGGATGTAGATCAACTTGGACGTAATGTAATCGAGATTAAAACAAGGAATATTGTACAATTCGTCATCAGTGAAATTGTACACAAATATAATGGTTATCTTTTGGAGCGCTACAGCCGTAACTGATCTCACCTATTGCTCTGTGCGGCCGTAAAGTACCTATGGCTTGAGGTAACTTGTTGCGTCATGTCTAAATTACTGTTGTGCCCATGTAGTGACCCAGTGTACTTAAGGTAATTTTTGCAGACGGTGTGTATTTAAATATTTCTGGCAAATTATTGAAACGTTCCTTCAAGTGGAACTGGAACAACTGGCTTATCCCGTGAGCATTCCTTCTTTAACACGTCGTTGATCCAGAAGTTAACAGACTGTAATACAGATGGACCTAAAACAAAGACAGCACCACACCCTGCCCAACCGATTATTGTCTACTTATCCTGCCCTAGCAATCCATACTGCCGCGGTTACGTGAGTTAAGAAAGAGCAACGTAAACTCAGAAAGAAAGAAAAAGTAAAGAGCTAAGCAACTAGGATACCAAGATATTTGAGTCATTAAAAATGAACTGATGGCTGAAGATGAGTCAGTTAGGAAAAGGAAAGGTTAGGTGTTGCCACCCAAGAGCATCGAGCCGATGCGCAAAAATTTAACCGTGGGTTCCGTAACGACATGGTCTGGAAGCGACTTCCAGCGATCTATAACTCGGCGGGACAGACGAGTTTCCGTCCTTATCCTATCAGACCGTGGTTTATGCAGTTTCAGTGACCGTGGCGATTAAGTAACTCAGTAGGACTAAACAGCCCTGACAAGTCCAGGCCGATCTTGCTCGTCACAATGTGATAAGTGAGAATCAGGTCTCCGCTTATCCTTCAGTAGTTCATGGAGCACATCCCAAATTAAGCATGCATTCAGGATACGTTCGTTCCCGTAGACACTGCACTAACCGAGTACCCAGTTGTAACACCATCGCCAAGTCCATTTTGTCCCGAATAAGATGTGATGGACAAGCCTGGATACAGTATTCCAGGTGGGGCCGAACGAATACTAAGAATAGCTTCACAAACAAATTAGCCGTTAGGACTCTGAATGGGCGGCGGACAAACCGCATTATACGAAACACCCGGCAGCAGCCTTCTTCCAATTGTCGCCAGAATGAAGTACTGGTGAGTATACGACCTGCAAAACAACCTACTATGTGTCAACAGGGATTTCACCACCGCCAAAAACATCTCGAGTGGGAGGACTATCAGCTCCGATTCGGCGAACAGGCGACTTGGCCCTAATTACGGACATAAGCCCACACCGAACACTAATGTGTACAATGTTGTCACGTAGGCATTTGTGTAACGATTCGTAAACACATGCCCTCATATGGTTGGTTGAAAATGACCTTTCATAAGTTCCCCTATTTCATTGGCTTTCCTTCCCGGATTTTCCAACTACTGTAACGCAGGATACTTTTAGTAAATCAGTTCCATACAACGCGTGCGCGTTCTGTGCCGTTTATAGGCTAATGGCCATCCTTAACTTTCTGGAGACGAGGTTAAACTACTGCGATGTTGCGCCTTTCTACACTACCTTAGAATATACCTTCTGATAAACCAACACCGGCTACCTGGAGGCGCGCTATTTTGGATTATTTGAAGCTACTACCCGTCTTGCAACCAAACACGGTACTCTCAAAGAGCCGCAAAAGTAAATTATTGAGACAATTTCCGGGGTATGAAGGCCAACGACATTTTGATTCTCTCCTATAGCACAAGCGTTCGGTCGTTATATATCAGGTTCGTCCCGCCTCAAGAAAAAGTCGGAAGGAGACGGATATATGAGCGAGATAGACGTTTCATGTCGAAAAGCACAATCCCGCTAGCTGACGGCACCTTAACATGGTTCTCGATAGGGGAAAGTATAGTGGCCCGCCGAAACTCATCAAACGCTCTTCAAGGCTGAAAAGCCAGAAGCACACGAATGCGTTTCGTCTGGATGACTCAGACACACATAGTCATCGTGCGAAAAGGCAAGCTTCCTAAGTTGTCTATGTACATAATGATATTATATTTTAATAATGTTTTTAACAGCCAAACAGGACAATCTCCAGGTCACTACATAGCCTCTCTCCTAGAAGGGAGCCGTTAGTGACCTTTCGAACTACGTGAGGATTGTCCGTCGTGGGCCAGCCCACTGCGAGACCAGGCGGTGAGACCTGATGCAGACCAGGAGATCTGACCCCAGCGGGCTCCCACCCATGTCCTCCCTTAAGGTGCCGATAGGAGAAAAGAGGAAGAACGTTCGTTGCATACGATAACTTGTGTTTGACCACGAATGAGTGTTCTCCGATTCGCAACCTGAAAAGAAAGAAAGAAACGGGATCAGACATGCAGAAGAGGCGACAGCAACGGGCGGGGAAAGCACTTACCGAATAGGCAGCGAAAAGTCAAGAAAACAACTCATTTTATCGGTTTACAAAACGTTTTAACGCTTTTATGATTTTCAAAACATTCCGAGGTGTTTTGGGGTTTACAAAACGTTTTGCGCTTTTCAGAGGGTACTGACGCGGATGAAAACCTGAAAACGCTATTAGAAGCAAAAATGCTAAGCTAATGTTCTAAGAAACGTGTCGGCCAGTGAACCTGACGACCACACCTAGCAACCTTTTTAGGTGTGGCGGAGTCGGAGGGCTCAGGAGGCGGGTTTCCGGTTGTATGGTTGCTGTCTGCAGGCCTTTCCTCCACCATTGGTTGGGTCGATTCATCGGAGGACGAAGGACTGGAGTCGTCCTTCGTCTCTGGTTCGACGTAAGCAACTTTGTGGTAATCGATTAGGACGGTTTCGCGCTCGCCGTTGCGTTCGATGAAGAAAAAGCGATCTTGAATGGAACATTGTAAGTTCGCTTGAGTGGTCATCATACACCATCAATGCGAATGAAGACAAACGAGCAGTGGTGTAGTTATTTGGGAAGGTAAGGCTTGCCAGGCTGTTCCCGTACTGCGGTCGATTCATTGCGGCGCATATTCGTGCCTAGCTGCCGAGCGTAGTGCGTGTTGTAGCGAGGAGTGTTCGAGCTTTCAGAGAAGAAGTCACCTGATAATCGGAGTGATTGTCCGTTGACCAGTTCGGCGCTGGACGTTTCGAGGTCGGTTTCCAGTGCTAATGGAATTCCTAGTAGCACCATTGGCAGAACTTCTGTCCAACTAGGTGCATTGGCGGCACTTAGCGAGGTTTTAAGCTGTCGGTGGAAACGCTCCACCATTCCGTTTGCTTGAGGATGGTAGGCAGTTTTCCGGATGCGTTTACATCCGAAAACTTTGAGTAGGTCGTTGTAATTTGACGATTCGAATTGTGGACAACGGTCGGTAGTCACAGTGGCTGGACAGCCACGTGTAGCAACCTAGCGCTCGACGAATGCGCGCGTTATTGCCTTAGCGGATACCTCGGGAATTGGAACAGCTTCAGGCCAACAGGTGGCGCGATCCACCATGGGCAGAATGTAGACCATGCCTTTGAACGGCGGTAGTGGTCCAACGATGTCGAGGTGGTGGGCGAATCGAGTTGATAGTGACGGGAAGCGTCCTTTCGGAGTGGCACCATGTCGATGAACTTTTGCTCGCTGGCAAGTCAGACAGTTGCGTGCCCGACGTCTGACGTCGCGCTGCATGTTGGGCCAGAAGTGTCTGTCGGCAATCATCTTAATGCATCTTAACTGAAGCGCGGATGCCAGGATGCGCGATGTTGTGCAGCGTATCGAAGACTTTTCTGCGAAAGGCAGTTGGTACCGGTGGATGTGGATGTCCGTTAGAGACGTCACAGATTATTATACCCGTAGAAGAAGGATGCGGTCTAGGTACCAACTTTAACGTAGGCTATTGCAGGATGACAGTAAATCTTTTTCGGCTTGCTGAGCAGCGGCCAAAGCTGACAGACCGAGCGACTGATCGGTCGGAGCTAGAGCGTTTACTCTTGAAAGTGTGTCTGCCACGACGTTATTCTTTGCCAGACATGTGTTGGACGTCCGTCGAAAACTGAGAAGCGAAAGCTAGCTGACGAGCTTCACGCGGAGTGTTGGAGTATCATGAACATCAACTACAGCAATACATCAACCATTTGAGCTGATGCTTCGCTGCCATACAACCATGACCTATGAAATAAAGAACAAGAAGAGGAAGAGAAGGAGGACTTGACTGAAAACCTTTATGCCCTAAGCAAACATTCAGGGTCAAGGCGCGTGCACCTTGTGTGGAAAACATACCGTCAAAACCAGCTGGTGTTGACGCGTGGTTTGTGATCTGTAAATATCCTAAAATGATTATCTTCGAGAACGTGACGAATATGGCGAGCGGTGAGTAACTCGCGGCCAAACGTGCTGTATTTTGATTCGGCTGTCTGAAGAAGTCGGGAGAAGAACGCTAGTGGTTGCCAATTATCTTGGGTAAATTGCTGTAGAACAGCGCTGATTGCGTTTTCCGAGGCGTCGACGGCTACACTGATTGGAGCGTTCGAGTCGAAGTGATGAAGCATAACGGCGGAAACGAGTGCTTCTTTGCTAGCTTCGAATGCTTTTCGTGCTTCAGACGTAATATCAACTCTACCGTTGTTGCGTCCAAGCAGATCGGTGAGCGGTTGCATAGGCTCGGCGCAACGTAGCAGGAATCGGCGATAGTATTTGACCATGCCGTTGAAGTGTCGAATGGCAGCAAGAGTCGTTGGATGAGAAAAGTCGCG